GCCATTTAGTTCTCTCTGTAATGATGTAAAGATGAGCTCTCTGGCTCATTTTGCTTTCGAGAAATGAGCAAAAACAGGACGGAAAACATGAAAATGTTTCATAATCTTTGCACCTAAGTGTCTGATATTCAATTTTCGCTTTCTGCGTCAAAACTACTCGCATTTCCTCACTCATGTGGTGATTACTATACTTTATTGTACAACTGGCAACTGTGCTAGTCTACAAAATACATGCATTTTTGTTAGTTTTAATTTTCAAGTCTAAAGTCTGCTGCAAAGCATCTTGTAATTATAAGGAAGATTTATAAAAAAATAATTAAATGTAACAAACACTAAATAAGCTATATTTAATCACATTTAGCAGACAGGAAAAAAGCACGCCCGGCAGTGATTTCCACTGACGTCACGCAAATCGACGCAAGATCCTACCTTGTATTCATTGAATCATCGGTGGCCAGTCAGACAGAAACAGCTGCCGGTTGCTACGCGACGTGTTTATGTTTGACGGTTATTTCGAACAAATGACAATGCAGCCTGAAGGTGAGCGGTCGTTAAGGGCAGGTTTTCGCCAGGTGCCGATCAGAAAGCGGCTGCAGGACCAGTTCGATCAGTGCGAAGACGCTCAGAAGCCCCACGGCGCAGAACCAGCAAGCCGATGTCTGAGGCAACTGGTCAGAAGCTTCCGGTCGATGCGCATCACTGTGACGGATCTAAGGCAGGTAGGTTGATTGAATAAACGGCCCCCTCTAGATGAAGAGCGCAGGCCTGCGTTGTTGCAGCGGCTGAAAGGGGCCACCAGACGGCGGCAGGTTTTGGAGGAGGGGCCCGCTACGCCCACGCCGCGCCTACTTCTCGGGCGCACGCCCACCAAGCTCTACAGCCCATTTGGCATTGACAGCCCCTGCAGGCCCGCGCCCTTTTAACTGTGTTGTTTCTGTATAATCATGCAAGTTTAAGCCGGCAGTTGGTTGATTTTTTTGTTTCCTTTCGCGTTGAATTCGAGCGGCGGTTCAGGTTTTTATCGAAGAAAATCGCCCGTTTCAGGGCTAGACGGTGTGCATTGCGTGATCACGTGGGGCTTGCCGCATTGGCCAATAAATCATTAAGGTAAGTGCATTGATTTCAGCGGCGATAACCTGGATTAGTGGCAAAAAGTAAATGTTTTTGTGCCGTTCGCCGACTGATTGATCGCTTTTTTATGAAGATAAGATAAAGGAGGCTCGCAAGGGATTTGCGGGACAGGCGATTTTGGCATCAGTGTCGGTGTTTTCCTGGCCAAGCAAAGGTAAGTGTGCGTGACTTAAGGGGCCGGGGTTTCGGGAACGCAGCTGCTCGAGCCCCACTCAGCGCAAGCACTCCAATCGAGCTGTTTCCGGGCCCGGAGGAGTGCAAAGCACTCCAGCTTATCAAGCAATTAGCTAAATCAATAAAAATGAGTCGTAAAACTGGCTGTGGGGAACGTGGCCAGATGGGGAATTGAAGAATGGCGTTTTTGCAGCAGCAGTAGCGACCAAGCGGCTCTCAATGGACGCGTCTGAGCAGCAGCCCGACTCAGAAGCCATCGCGGCAGTTGAGGAGGCACCAGCGTCTGTAGGAGAGGCGCCTGTGCCTGTCGAAGAGGCGCCAGCCGCCGATAAGCCAAAGTCGCGCCTGAAGCGCAGCATTATCGACACGCAGGAGAACTCTAAAGTGGACGCCAGCGGCAAAATCATCGAAGACTACTAGCTTAGGAGCAATAAACATGTAAACTTAGCAACTATTTGTCATATATTTCAATCGGAATCTACCCTCGAGGCTGACGCGCAGCGCCAGCCCCAGCAGCGCAAAATTGCGCCGGTACCACTCGAAATTGTACTTCACGTGGTTCTGCCAGTTGGCGTTCAAAAACTCCCGGTAGAACTCGCTCATTTCATCCGCGTTCAACTGGGGCTTCGCCTCGCAGGTGCGCTCCTTCACAAACTGGGCCTTTTTCTGCAAAAACCCCCCAGTTAAACCCCGAAATTCCGCATCCGCCATACCAACCAGCAAAAAACTGCCATTGTGCGCCGCCCAGAACGCCTGGTTCCACTCCTGGGTGGCGTCGGCCGCCTGCCGGAAGCGCCGCTGTAAATCCGTCTCGTTTTTCGGGATGCCTCGCACAATGGGGCGCAAGTGGGACCGCGCGTCCGGCGGCCCGATTAAGTCCACCGCGCCCTCGTCCCGCACCACTATAATCGGGTGCTCCAGCAGCACGCTGCCTGCCTGATGAGCGGCCAGTCGCTTGGAGCCCTGAAACACCAACAGGGGGCCGGTCAGGGCCCTGCGGGGCCGCGCTTTGACATGTTACATAACCTAGGGGCGTTCGAATCGACCCACCTTGGCAAGCCGGGCAGTGGGGCGCGATGAGCGCAAGCAGCTGCTCCATAGCGTCAGCACCATTGTGAACAGCGACAATTGGGGCCGAGCTCCGCAAACTGGGCCGTTTTAGGCGGACCTTGATGGCATTGTTTTGGGGGTTAGGCTCGATCATAGATAAAGATAAGTGTCCGATGACAGTGAAGTGAGCGGCGCTTGGCGCGCTGTTGCCGCCTGGTCTGGGCCGCGCCCGAAACCACCCAAACCCAGGGCGGGAGTTTTTGAAAATTTTCCCAGATGTTTAGCAAAAAACCCGAGGAATCTCCAAAAATAACCGGCTGTAAAGTCCTGAGTGTCGTAAACACCCGGTCGCATTGCAACGGGTTTCAAAGGCGCACGGGTTTCGATCGTTCTAATCCACTATACGCACTACACGGTGGCCCAAAGCCACCCAATAAATTCGCCCTGAAAACTTGTAGTGCCAGTTTCACTGGGAACTGTCGATTTGACGGGTTTGCCCCCAAGAACTGTCCAAATTTTGACAGCTGCCCTTGCATTTATTTGATAGGTGTCAGTTTGTCAGCTGGCAAATGGCGTTTCAAGTGACAGTTTTGACATGTTTTGTAGATGTGGGCGGTTGTGTCGGGCGCGCCCGGTACAGTGTGGGCGCGAATGGGCGCTGAAATCGAAACAAAAGCGGTGCACAAACAGACATAAACTGAATGGAAATTGGGCAATAAAACCGCTATTTTCGGTCTGGTGTATATAAACAGCCGAAGAAACTGGAAGGATCGCAGTAAGCCGTTTGGTCCCCATCCAGAATTGTGCCTGCTGAATCATGTCTGCTGTGAGTATGCGTTTTTTCCCGGTTTTTGCGGAGTTTTGCCTGAAAAAATGGCCAGTGGCGCGCGGCATTTTTGATGATTTATTCGGTCCCCCCCACGCTTTAATGCTCGACAATCGCGACTAGATTTTACGCGAGTTCAATGCTTATCGGGCGTGTTTTACAACTAAATCGAGCTGGCCGATGCTTGCCAATGCTCGCTTAATTGAGCATAGTTGTTGACAGTTTCTGTGTGGCAAACTGCGTTCCAAAATGCCCGATTTTTTCCTTCGGAGGCCGATTTTTTTGCTCGCTCGAAGCCCCTGTAATTGTCTACCGTTTGGGGCCTCGGGCGATTTTTGGCCAATTTTTCAAAGCTTCAAGGCACGGAAAAGTGGGCGCAAAATTGCGGTTTTTGCTTGCCAAAGTTGCAGTTTTTAATTTTTTTTTTCTAGAAATCCCCCAAAGGGTCTTTTGCGACTATTCCTGTGCCACTGGGTTTGCGGCAGGAATTTTTCCTGATTTTTCTTGAGCGATTGTTTGAAGGCCTTGCGACTTTTCACTTTGGACGATTGAAAACTTCATTGCGTCCCAACCAGGAAAGCTAGAAACTTGGGGTTTTTTTGCGTTGAAAGCAGGAGAGTCGGGCCTACCATGTGTGAAAGTTTCGATTCGCTGCCATCATCAAGGATTTTTTGAGGAGTTTTTAAAGTTTGAGGATTTTCAATTCCATTATGCGCGGATGCGATGGTTGATTGAAAAATTCATAGCGCCCCAACCAAAAAAGTTGGATTTTTGGGTTTTTCTGCGTTAAAAGCAGAAGAGTTGTGCCTAAAACATGTGAAACTTTCGATTCGTTGCCACCATCAGGGATTTTTCCAGGAATTTTTATGTTTGCGCTTTTTCACTTCCATCACGTGCGGATGCGACGCGCCATTGAAAAATTCATTGCGTCCCAACCAGAAAAGCTGGGAACTTCGGGATTTTCGCGTTGAAAGCAGAAGAGTCGTGCTTAAAACGTGTGAAAGTTTCGATTCGTTGCTATCATCAGGGATTTTTTCAGGAATTTATAAAGTTTGCGGATTTTCACTTTTATTACGCGCGGATGCGCTGGACGACTCAAAACTTCATTGCGTCCCAACCAGAAAAGCTGGAAATTTCGGATTTTTCGCGCTAAATGCAGAAGAGTCGTGCCTAAAACGTGTGAAAGTTTCGATTTGGTGCCATCACCAGGGATTTTTCCAGGAATTTTTAAGTTTGCGCTTTTTCACTTCCATTATGCGCGGATGCGATGGACGATTGAAAACTTCATTGCGTCCCAACCAGAAAAGCTGGAAAAAAAATTGCCCAAAAACCCCTTTTCAAAAAATCCCTTTGTGAATTTTCTTTCCCCGACGGAAATTTGTAGGGGAAAACTTGCCCTGGGAAACTTTCTCTGATTGTCGCCGCGGACACGGGGGGCATTTTTGCAAAATTTTTCGAAAATATTCAAAAAACTTTTTTCCGAAAAACTCCCCATACTTCCGAAACTGGTCAAAATGGACGACGTCCCAGCATCCCAGTCGATAGACGAACGGAAAATACGTAAAAAACGCCCCATTGACTTTGGCGCTAGCTCAAACCCTAAGCGAGCTACTTGGGATTTTCGTCACAATTGGCAACGTAGCTGCCCCCAACTAGCCCCTGTTCCTACTACCCCTAGCCTCTATTAGACCGATCATTCTGGAACGCAGCCCCCGATTTGCGCCGATCCAGGGCCCGGATGCACCTATTTCGGCCCACTATAAATGCATTTTCCTGGTCGCCAACCCAACAATTGTGTTGATTTTTTTGGCGCGTGCCACTCAGGGGTCTGAATGACGCGCCGCGGCAGTGTAAACGACGTGCAGCTGATCAGTTTCACGCCCCGCAAGTTCTCGATTTCCCCCTTTTTGGCCCCCCGGTTCAGCAAGCACGTACGTATTTGCGGAGCGCCCGAGGCGCTGAAGGTGTCTTGGTTCTTCAAGCACCCGTTCTGATCCATTCCTGTGCAAAAGCTCCGCTTCCCTACTCCAAGCGCTGCTGAGTTATCGCGTCTGGAACAAACAGTCCAGGTGCAAAAATGCGGTTTTTTCCGGCGGGTTTTGGCTGGAAAGGGCGCATATTGGGGGCGGGGCAGGGTTTTTAGGGCGCACTGGCTTGGCTGGCGCCTGCTCTGGATGCAGTGACGTCACGCAGGATCAGATGGGGGGCGGTTGAGCCCAAAAACAATAATCTCCTGCGAGTTTTACATGGAAAAATGCACTTTTGTCGCGCCAATGCATTGCAGAGCCAACTGATCGGGCGTCAACAGCTTAATCAAAGCTGTCTGGACTGACGGGTTTGACGGAACGCATCCAGATGCATTCTGACGCACTCTGTCACGCGCTGCGCTTATAATTATCCAGAGTCCTGGATGGATTTTCGAAAAAAAAAAGCAAAAATTGATTGAAATTCTCGGAAAAATCGCGATGCGGACGGTTCGATTAAAAATAAAAAAAAATGAATAAAAAATCACCTTCATCTGACCGCGACCAATCAAACCGGCCACTGACAGGTCGATTTAATCCAGGAAATTTATTATTAAATGGGATTCGGACAGGAAAAAAAGCAAAATTCCAAAACAATCTGGGCTCGGTGACGACGCGGAAAAGTTTTTCGATTTTTTGCCCCTGGATCGGCGGGTATAAAAGCCGCCCAACCAAAATGATCGGTAACAGTTTGGAACGAATCAGCGCGACCAATGAGTGCCTTGAAGGGTGTGCAGTTGATCACCTTCAGTCCGAGCAAATGGGGCGTGTCGCCCTGGATGCATGCAGAAGATCTGGACAGCAGCTATGCGGTACGCGATTGGTTGGTTTGGCTTTTTATGGGTCTGTGCTGAGTGGCTGGAAAGTGGTGCGAAGTGGCGGGGTTGCGCTTCAGAAGCAGGTGGGTCGCGTCTAAATGGCGTGAAAGTTTCGATTCGCTGCCATCATCAGGGAGTTTGTTAGGGTTTTTCACAGTTTGGCCATGTTCACTTTTGTTGCGCGCGGATGCGACGGGCCATT